CCTGGCCGGTTTGGCTCAGTGGATAGAGTGTCGGCCTGCGGACTGAAGGGTCCCAGGTTTAATTCTGGCCCAGGGCACATGCCTGGGTTGCGGGCTCAATCCCAGTAGGGGGCGTGCAGGAGGCAGCTGATCAATGATTCTCTCTCATCATTGAAGTTTCTATCTCTCTCTCCCTCTCCCTTCCTCTCTGAAATCAATATATATATATGGAGAGAGAGAGAGAGGAGGAGGAGGAGAAAAAAGAAACAGGTGAAATTAATTTTGATAATATATTTTATGGAACCCCTATATTCAAAACATCATTACTTGAGCATGTCATCAATATTAAAAGTTATTGAGATTTTTTACTCCTCACCCGGGGACTTTTTTCCACTGATTTTTTTAGGGAGAGGGGACGGGAGGGAGAGGAGGGAAGAGAGAGAGAGAGAGAGAGAGAGAAACATCGTCAAGAGAGAGACACACCATTGGTTCCCTCCCACACGTGGGGCCGGGACAAACCTGCAACCGAGGCACGCGCCCTTGGCAGGGAATCGAACCCGAGGCCCCTCAGTCCACAGGCTGGTGCTCTGTCCACTGAGGCAAACCAGCCAGACTTTTTATGGCCGGCACATCCTTTTAAATGTCTTAGTTGTGGTAAACACAGTTTAAAAGACAGAACAGAATTTACCCTCCGAACCATTCTAAGTGCACCGTTCAGTGGCACTGAGCCTGCTCACAGCCTTGCCGCCAGCAGCACCGTCCCTCCCCGAACTCACCACATCGCCCGTCTCTTCCACCACTTCTCTGAGGTCTGACACCGAGGACACAGCAAGGCCCCGAGCGGCGGGCCCAGCACTGACGGTGGACACATGTGGGCAGTGGCTCTGGTGCTGGACAGAGAGGGTCTGCCGCTGGGGTCCTCAGGGTCCCCTGGGTGCTCTGGGTGCTCTGGGTGCCCTGGGTCCCCTGGGTGCCCTGGGTCCTCTGGGTGCCCTGGGTGCTCTGGGTGCCCTGGGTGCCCTGGGTGCTCTGGGTGCTCTGGGTGCCCTGGGTCCCCTGGGTGCCCTGGGTCCTCTGGGTGCCCTGGGTGCTCTGGGTGCCCTGGGTGCCCTGGGTGCTCTGGGTGCTCTGGGTGCCCTGGGTCCCCTGGGTGCCCTGGGTCCTCTGGGTGCCCTGGGTGCTCTGGGTGCCCTGGGTGCCCTGGGTGCTCTGGGTGCTCTGGGTGCCCTGGGTCCCCTGGGTGCCCTGGGTCCTCTGGGTGCCCTGGGTGCTCTGGGTGCCCTGGGTGCCCTGGGTGCTCTGGGTGCTCTGGGTGCCCTGGGTCCCCTGGGTGCCCTGGGTCCTCTGGGTGCCCTGGGTGCTCTGGGTGCCCTGGGTGCCCTGGGTGCTCTGGGTGCTCTGGGTGCCCTGGGTCCCCTGGGTGCCCTGGGTCCTCTGGGTGCCCTGGGTGCTCTGGGTGCCCTGGGTGCCCTGGGTGCTCTGGGTGCTCTGGGTGCCCTGGGTCCCCTGGGTGCCCTGGGTCCTCTGGGTGCCCTGGGTGCTCTGGGTGCCCTGGGTGCCCTGGGTGCTCTGGGTGCTCTGGGTGCCCTGGGTCCCCTGGGTGCCCTGGGTCCTCTGGGTGCCCTGGGTGCTCTGGGTGCCCTGGGTGCCCTGGGTGCTCTGGGTGCTCTGGGTGCCCTGGGTCCCCTGGGTGCCCTGGGTCCTCTGGGTGCCCTGGGTGCTCTGGGTGCCCTGGGTGCCCTGGGTGCTCTGGGTGCTCTGGGTGCCCTGGGTCCCCTGGGTGCCCTGGGTCCTCTGGGTGCCCTGGGTGCTCTGGGTGCCCTGGGTGCCCTGGGTGCTCTGGGTGCTCTGGGTGCCCTGGGTCCCCTGGGTGCCCTGGGTCCTCTGGGTGCCCTGGGTGCTCTGGGTGCCCTGGGTGCCCTGGGTGCTCTGGGTGCTCTGGGTGCCCTGGGTCCCCTGGGTGCCCTGGGTCCTCTGGGTGCCCTGGGTGCTCTGGGTGCCCTGGGTGCCCTGGGTGCTCTGGGTGCTCTGGGTGCCCTGGGTCCCCTGGGTGCCCTGGGTCCTCTGGGTGCCCTGGGTGCTCTGGGTCCCCTGAGTGCCCTGGGTCCTCTGGGTGCCCTGGGTTACTGCTGGGGTGCTGCCGGGTGCTATAGTGCTGTCGGATTGCTCCTAGATGCTGCTGAGGTGCTGTGGTGTGCTGCGGGATTTGAGGTGCTGCTGGGACAAGAAGCCGGCACACACCATGGGGAGTTTAAAGTCTGGTGGAGGGGACAGACAGGAAACATGAATAGATCAGATGGTCTGATGGAGTTAGGTCTCCAGAGAAAATAAATAGGGCCGTGGGCTAGGAGCTCTGGGGGCTCGGGGTCAGGGTGGGCCCCTCGGAGAGATGGCCCTGGAGCTGGGGCTGAAAGAAGCAGCAGCTCCACGAAGACCCACGGTGCCGCCTCGGTGCTGCCCATGCTCCAGACTCGGTGCTGCAGTTTAAAAATATACACACAGCCCGGCCGGCGGGGCTCAGGGGCTGAGCGTAGACCTATGAGCCAGGAGGTCAGGGTTCAATTCCCAGTCAGGGCACATGCCCTGGTTTCGGGCTCATCCCCAGTAGGGGGCGTGCAGGAGGCAGCTGGTCAAATATTCTTTCTCATCATTGATATTTCTATCTCTCTCTCCCCACTTTCTCTTTGAAATCAATAATCACTTTTTTATAAGATCTCTAGTTTAAAAAATATATATAGACACCAAACCCAACTCAACCTGCAGAGTCATAGCAGCTGTGTGCGAGGCCCAATGTGTGCACACACGCATGCGTCCATGTGTGCATGAGTGTGTGTGTGTGTGTATGTGTGTGTGCGCGCGCGCATGTGTGATCCTGGGGCACAGCCTGGAGCTGTGGCAGGGGCAGGGGAACAGCGGTCCAGGGGCCACTGCTCCACGTGGAAACAGCAAGAAGCGATCTTGGAAACTGGGGGAGCAGAGGGGAGGGCAGAGCAGGACGGGGCAGCCAGACCCTCCAGGCAGTGGGAAGGAGTTTGGGTTTTACTCCAAGTGGGGTGGGAAGCTGTTGCTGGGCTCGTCGCAGGAAAATGCAAGGTCTTCCGGACAAAAAAATGTGGACTCTCACTCTTTGTCTAAGGCAAATCCTATATAGTAAAAGCCCAGCGACTGAAATAGTGGAATGACCAGAACAACCAGACACCAGAACACCACTGCCCCTCGCCTCGGCTGGCCCCATCCCCAGGGAGCAGTTAGGGGTGATCAGGCAGGTGAGTGGTTAGGGGTGATCAGGCAGGTGAGTGTTTAGGAGTGATCAGGCAGGCAGGCGAGTGGTGGGGTGATGAGGCAGGCAGGCAGAGGCAGTTAGGGGTATTCATTCAGGCAGAGATGGTTAGGGACAATCAGGCAGGTAGGCAGTGTGATTAGGTGTGATCAGGCAGCAGGTGAGTGGTTAGGGGAGATGAGGCAGACAGGCGAGTGGTTAGGGGTGATCAGGCAGACAGGCGAGTGGTTAGGTGTGATGAGGCAGGTAGGTGAGTGGTTGGGGTGATGAGGCAGGCAGGCAGAGGTGGTTAGGGGTGGTCAGGCAAGCAGTGAGCAGCCAGCAGTCCTGAATTGCGAGAGGAATGTCCGACTGCCAGTTTAAACCGGCAGTTGGACATCCCTTGAAAGGTCCTGGGTTGCGAGAGGGTGCAGGCCAGGCGGAGGGACCTCTCCATGCACGAATTTCATGCACCAAGCCTCTAGTAATAATAATAATAATAATAGGTTTAAGATGCCATGTATTATTGCCTTTAGTCTGGTAATGGGGCAGGACTTGCAGGGCGGGCGGTTAAATATGGAGTGTCTCCACAGAAGGGCATGGAATCTGATGGTCGGGAGGGAAGAGCAGACTCACCCCTGAGAGGAATCGTTCTGCGGGGTCCTTGGGGCTTCCTGACCCGCCCGGCCTTGCAACTAGACGTGGGAGCGAGGCCCCAGCCTCCACTCTCCTCACCCCGGCTCAGCCTCAGCCTCCTGGTTCCTTCTCTCATTACAGCTTCCATTAGTCAATCAGGCTGCTGTGATACCCCTGCTTAAGCAACAGAAACTTCTCTCACAGTCTGGGGCTGAAAGTCCAAGGTCCAGGCGCCTCCTGAGGCCTCTGTGCTGCAGCTGCCGCCTCTGGTTGTGTCCTCACAAGGTCTCTCCTCCGAGGGGGCGCCCCACGTGTCTCTGTGGGTGTCCAAACGTCCTCTCTTCTGAGGAGGCCGGTCAGGTTGGATTAGGGCCATCCCGTTGGCCCCATTTAACTGTAGCATCTCTTTAAAGACCCCAACGTGCAGTCATTTCTGAGGTCCTGTGGGTCAGGGCTTCAACAAATGAATTTGGGGGACACAGCTGAGCTCCAAGTGGCAGGTGGATGGAAGGAGAGCAGATGCCCCCACCCCTACACACAGAGCAGTGATCATATTTGGAAGGTTTACGTAAAAGGCCCTTCCACCAGGAAAGGTTTCCAGACACAATCAACCCTCGAAACCACACCTCGGATACCAGCTGAATGGCAACCCTGCCCCACCCAGCCCTGAAGGCCAGGCGTACTTATTGAACACCTACTGTGTGCAAGTTCCAAACTCAAGCACTGGGAAATCTAGGGACCTCCCCACCCAGTAGCACGGATTAGAGAGGGATATAAATAGCCATGATCTGAGACAGAGGGAAGCAAATAAAACAGAAGGAGTTGGTCCACGGGCGAGGGCGGGGGGAGGAGGAGGATGACCAGGTGACTTCCATTCGGGGGGCGGGGGGGCTGGAAATGAAGTAGGTACTGTTTTCCCCTAGCTTGACCGATGGGGAAACCAGGGCACAGAGAGGGTAAGTGGATTCCACAGCCACACAGTGAGTGACAGCTGGGATTTAAACCCACGCTCTTAAGCACTGCCCTGTTGTAAAGGGGAATGAGAGGGATAAAAGGAGACATGCAGGTGGGGCCACACTGAACGGCGTCTGGAAAGCCGGCTAAGGGCTTCTCCTTTACTCTGCAGACAGGGGTGCCCTTGAAAGTTCCTGACAGAAGTGTGACCCCGGCCGCTGGGCCTCGGGGAGCGCAGTGCAGGGCTCGAAGCTTTCGTCTGTGAGCTGGGAAACTCCCCTGCCAGCACCGTCCTCTCTGAGGCCGCCTCGCAGGTGAGTGTGCACGCCCGGCGGCCACCTGCACTGTCCCACCCCTTTCCCAGCAAGGACGACAGCCAGCACCGACGCCACACCATGCGGGCACCGTCCCCTTTCAGCCGTCTGGAAAATGCAGGGGGTGGGGGGCTGTACAGATGAGCCGGTGTGATGGTCTGAGACTCCACTCACCTCTGACTCTAAAGCTCACGTTTTGAATAATAACGGAATAATTCGTGTTTCCTGATGGAAGATAGAGACGCTGTAGAGCTGGAACTATGTGCCTCGCCATTTTACCAGGTTGAGCTTATTTTTCTGACTCTCATCAGGACACAGCCTTTTCTTCCCAGTGGAGTTACCATCTCCGTCCTCCACCCCTTCCCCGCCCACTGAGGCTTGGCAAACACTTTCTCCTTCAGGTGCCTCCAGCCTTAGCAGGAGGGAGGGCGGGAGGGAGCACATGGAACTGGCCGCATTCCGCCCCACCAGCTGTCAACACACACCACCCACCCTGGGCAAGCGGCTGCTTGCATGGCCGGGGAGGGGAGAGCCGTGGGCTCGTGTGCTCGCTGTTGGCACCCCCAAGTCGTCTGCCCATTGGGATGCGATGGCATGGCGCCTCCCATGCCTCCCAGGGGGGCGAGCTGTCTCCCCACATAAACGTAATCATACAGCACATAGCCCGGTGCAGCCGCGTCCCGGCAACAAGGAAGCAAACGGCTTCAAGGCTCTGTCAACAAGGGTTTGGAGACAGGAGCCACCCAGGAAATGCACGTTCCGAGGCTGCGCCTCCATGGGAAGCCACCTCGGGCTCACCCTGTGCCCAGGAGCAAAGGAGGGGCCCACCTGCCTCCTTCGGGGAGCGCTGTCCAGCTGCGAGGGGCCCAGGCCGAGTTTCCTAGCTGACTTGGCATCCCCCGCCCCCCCGCCTTTGAGGCTTTTAAACATTTTATAAAAGTAACGAGTTTTTGGAAAACTGCCGCAAATACTAGAACCCAGGTTGAGGAGTAAGTCTAATCTGAACTTCTCCGGAAGCCCCTGAAGACACTTGATCCCAACCCATCCAGCATCGCCCGCCCTTCCCCTAAAGTCGCAGCTCAATGCTAAGATCCCTACACTTATTTTTTTAATTGAATTAATTGGGGTGACGTTGGTTAATACAATTATATTGGTTTCGGGTGCCTAACAACCACCTTTCCTGACAACCCATTTTCCCATAAAGCTAGAAGCTCACTTTGTTCCGTGTTGATATAAAAAATAACTTTCTCCTTTATTACTTTTTAATCATACAAGCAATATCTGTTCATTGTAGGAAATTGCAAACCACAGATAAACTCAAAGCATTTTTTAAATAGCACAGAGCCTTCCCCACCAAGATAAGCCGTAAGACCATCTGTTTAACCCCGTGCACACATCTTCGTCTGCACACAAATCCGGTTTTTTAAACAGAAACAGTTAACCGCCCTTCTCGGGCCCCGGGCGTGCACGTGTCCGCGCACAGTTGGCCGCATCCTGCCGCCCTGTCGCCATGGCGTCGGTGCCCACCAGAGAAGACAGCGGTGAGGGTTTCATCGGCACGAGGTGTGGTCATCTTCCAAACCTGCGTGTGGCGCTTGGCCACCAGTCGAACAAGGAAGTGACGAGCAGGAGCCCGCTGGCCTCCTGTCAGGACGGCTGCTCCGAGGCGCGGCCTGCTGGCCTCAGGCCAGACGGTGCTGCTGCCCCGTGAAGAGGCCATTCCAACGCTAGGGGTTTTCCGGCAGGTCTGGCCACACCTGGCGTCCTGGGGTTTAGGGGCTGTGCGCTGGGTGGCAGGTCATGTGTCAGACTCCTCCTGGGATGGAGGCTGATGTAATCTTGGGCCGGTAGCAGAAAAACCGACAGAACGGGTTCTGTCAGCACACAGCCTGGCACAGCGCTGGGGGCGAGGGGTCCACACAGGGGCGGCCCTGGAGCCACGGGTGGCGAGGTGTTTGTCTAACCTGGTGCATCTAGGAGGCGGGAGGACCTGGGCTGACTCCGTCCCCCCGTGCAGCGTGGCAGGCGGAGATGGTGCACTGACAAGCGCCTTTCATCTCACTAGTAATTGCCCGCATTAGAAAACATACGTAATTAGGAACCTGGACCCTGTGATTTTGCGGACATTGTTGCTTAGGACAGAGCTCAAGCAGGTCTTTAGGTAAAAACAAGAGTGAGTCAACAGAAAGGACGATATTGAGTCCGTGAGAGTGTCGTTGGCGCCCAGCTGCAGCCCAGACCAAGCAGGCAGCCCAGCGTTAGCCGCTAAGAGCGCCAGCCTTGACCTGCCCTCGAGGCCAGAGGCCTTCAGCAGCAGCTCCGTGGCCTTCGCCTTGCGGTGGGAGCTGGTGAGGGGTCCCGAGGGAACGGGAAACAAGCAGCCAGAGCAGGTGCGCGATCGGAGTTCCCAGAACCGGGAGCTGGGCCAGGCCGCCACTCCTGCAACCTGGTGGCAAACGCCTCTGAGCTGTGGGCCTCGGTTCACCACCTTCACCATAACTTAAGCATTGATGTTTGAAGTGAGACTTTTTTTAATTGATTGTTTTAGAGAGAGGGAAAGGGGAGTGAGAGAATCATCGATGTGAAAGCAAAACAGCCATTGGCTGCCCCCTGTACATCCCACAGGGATGGAGCCCGCAACCGGGAGTGAGGCCTTGTCCCCGCAGGAGCACCAGTCCACCGAGAAGTGTTGGCTGAGAGATCCCTCCAAGTGCCTGTCTCGTGGGGACCCTGCGGCCCGCTTTTCGCATGGTGCCCGAGGGGCGAGGGTGTGTGGTGCGCTGAGCTCCTGGCTGAGCCTCCTGTGGGGGGTGGGCCAGGCAGGTCACACCCAGAGAGCAGGCTGGGGGGTGGGCCGGGCGGGTCATACCCAGAGAGCAGGCTGGCTCCCCAGGCCCTGGCGCCTGCCCCACTCCCTGCAGGGCCTGGCCAGTGCTGCCCCAGCAGCAGCTCTGAGCACTGCTTCCCTGACACCATCCCTCATCTTCCATCGGACCAGCCAGAGGGGCACTGGCAGGATGGAGGCTGGCAGGTCGGGGTGGAGATGGGGGCAGCCCCTCCTGCTCACTGCCCCCTGTCAGCTCCTGTCCTGGTCACTGAGTTCTCAGCTCTCATTGACCATACTCCGAGCCTGCAATTGGCCTAATGGGCTCCCTTCCTCTCCCAACACCCCTGTTGCAAAGCTCGGCCGTAACGGCTCTCAGGGAAGATGGGGACAAAGGGCGTGTGATGGCACCGGAGCAGTGACCACATACGCCAGGCTTTAAAGAAGGTAGCAGTGGAGAGAGCGGGGTGGGCCCTGCC